AAAGTACTCTAAACTGTATAAATAATGTAAAATTAAATTGAATTTATTAGCCAATCAGACGAACTTCTGTCTATGAGTATAGCTTAGCATTGGTGATAAACCGGATCCGAATCGAATATTATCTGATCGAATCCCTATTTGGATTCGAATTCGCAGGATTCGTAAATTTTGGAATTCGAATATATAGGATACCTTTCTTCTGATTGGCCAATCACTTACAATTGTATTGATATAGTTTAAAGTACTTTTTAAGGATGTAACATTTCACAAGTAAAAAATAAAAATTAAACCCGTCTCTAACTTCGAAGAAGCGCCAATAGTTACTATGCAAAATAATCCCAAATAATTCCACACCGAGAGGTACCTTACTTAGGTGAAATTTTTTAAGTATACCGTAACTATAGAACTATGTGTAATTACTAAAACGTTGAATGTACAGTACCGGACAGTCTAAGATATCCGCTTTTATTTTATAATTAAAAAAGCGCCAAATTTAAGTGAGGACAGTATAAGATATCAACTTTTTACTAAAAAGCGCCAAATTTAGAATTTTATAGTTAATTTTGATTGGTTCAACTAATGTATCAATTTATATATAAAATAGACAATGTTTAAACTATTATAACACTGTTAAAAATAAAAATAAAAGAAAATCCTCTTACAGAAATATAGTTTTGGTTACAAACTATTAATTTGTAAGAGGGTTTTTGTATTTAATAATTTTTTGCCAAATTATACCATTTTTAAAAAATCCATTAAAATAGGATATCTTAGACTGTCCGGTAAACGATTTATAAGCCATATTGAAGAGATTTTGAAACGTAAAGAACGTTAATATATAAGAGTAGAATTAGTAACAAGTGTTTAAAACTTTATATACATATATATACAGAGATTACTACAGGGCTCTAACGCGTCTTATCATAACGAGCTCTAGTATAATAAACTATAGACCCTTAAATATTATATTAGTTCAGTGTAAAAGAGCGTGATTTTTTTCTTCTTTATTCTTTTATAAAAGTGAAGAAACGATAGTTTACGAATATAATGTAGTTTGGTTGGTTAATTGTCACATGTTGCGCCGATGGCCAATCATAACGTGTTATTCAATTTCATGTGATGAGAAAGTTATCCTATATAATTCGAATAGATTCGTCGAATCGAATCCTAAATCGAATTCGAATTTCAAATTCATTTTGCGGAACATTACCGGATCCGAATCGAATATATCCGATCTAATCTCTATTTGGATTCGGATTCGCAGGATTCGACACCATATCACACACGAGAATCTAAGAATCAGGTATTTAGAATCTATTAGAATCTATATTATCAATTTTCACACCTGGCGTTCTATTAAACTTTTAATATTGGTTGTGCTTATTCAAACTTTGAGATTTTTCAATAACGGCACTGTTAATTTTAATGCTTAAGCCCATTTTCTAAGCTATCAGGTTGCGGGATTCAAAAGTAAATAGGACATTACTGAGATAATCTTTGTGAAATCGTAAAAGCATAGGTAATGAAAAACTGAAAATTTTATTATTATTCGGTCAACCAACTATAAGATCTAATATACTAATGAATATTATATTAGAAAATTTGGAATTATTTTTTTTTAAGTTGACGATTTGTAAAAATAAAGAATTTGAAGAAATTTTATAGATTTCTGCGTGATGGATTTGATATCAATTTAAACTTAAGGACTACTCGACCATTTCATTGAGTTAATTTACTCAGGTTTACTCGAGTTATATGAATCACAAAAATAAATACGTTTCATATTCTGATTAGCAAAGGCATTTATGTAATACAGAATTATACGAAAGTCTTCCTATAGATGATTATCACCTATTTTAGATAGCATTCCCAGTAATTTTGACCAATCAAATTTTAAGATCAGGTCTCAAAACAAACGTGTTTTGTGTTTTCTAAATAAAAAAGTTACGCGTAAAATGAAAACCGTGTTATAATTTGGGTTAGAATCGCAGAAGATGGTTTCCTAATTAAAATTTAGAGTTATTCTTGTTTTTTTGTAAAAAAATGGGTTCATTTCGATTTTTACGTTATACCTGATCCTGAAATTCGATTAACTTTAAAAGTAACATTATAATGGTAGTGATCAATGCAAAAGTTTAAACATGATTGCGGTATGGTGCATTTGATTTCATTGTTTTTTTGTCTATAATAGTCAACAAATATGTCCCCTTAATCCTTGTGCAACTGTATCGATTAAGGGATTGACGATCATTTAACTATTGAAATTTATATATTTTTTACGAAAAAATCGTTTTTTTGAAAACCTTTTCCTATTTAAACATTCTTAAAATAAAGTATTTTGTTACATGTTATTAAACTAAATAGCGCTTAATATACTTTCAGTTTAACTGTTCCATTTTAAATATTGTAACACTTCTGGTTCTTAAAGAATCTTCACTCAAAGTTACACAAACTCCAGCATTAACATAGCGTTTAAGTTTTCGTTGAACTTTGATTTTATTTTTTTTTAAAAATGCTAGTATGGCTTCAGAAGCAGACAATAATAAAAACTTTCTTAGTGATTTAATTAACAACTTTGAATATGTACTAGAAAATGATATAGAAGACATTGAAAGCATGGGATTAGCAAGCGAAAGTCTTATATCAGATGGAATTGAAATGGGAAGTATTGACAATAATTTAGATGTTGATGTAGAAATTAGTCCCTTTCTTTTTGACAAAATCAGTTTTGAAAGGGCATGGGCCTTGGTAGAAGAGGAGGAAACCAGCAATCTAATTTTTTTAAATGACATAGATAATGATGATATTGATGCGGATAGTAATGATACAACATCGTCAGAATTTGATTCAAATGAGAGTGAATACTTAATTGAAAACTTAGCATTAAAAAAAGGTACTAGCAAAATGTTAACACTATGTCCAATTATAGATATTGATAATGGCCGTATTCAATGCTGTTCAACTGAGTCATCAAGACGGCTTACTCAACTTGTTGGTTCATGGGAAATCGATGAAACAATTTTTCTTCAAGTGCA